TGAGCGTCGAGCGTCAGCATGAAAAAGGTACCTTAAAGCAAGTTGTCTCATCTTTCGCGTCAACGCGCTCCAACATCTCATTTTTCCCGACTCTTTAGTTTTCGATATTCAAATTTGCAATTTACTTCAAGGACGCGTTCAGAGTCGGCCCATCCCTTCGGGTATCCTTGTTTAACATTCGGTGAACAACAAGAATAAAACGATATCTGCGTGGCACTTGAGTGGGAATCTGAATGCGCCCAGCTTGATTTATTTACCTCTTTATGGCTAAACTTTTTATACTTTTGTCCTATTACTATCCCTCTCTCTCTCTTTCTCCATTGTCTATTATATATATATCTGTTTCTTTTTAAGTGCAGAAAAATATAATGTAATGCAACTATAAAGAACAAACTTCTGTTTGTTGAAAGGAAAAAGCGCGAAATTTTTAATTCCCGTAACCTCGCTATCGTCAAAGCCAAAGCCAGCCAAAGAGTTAAGAGATCAAAGGCACGTGATTGTCAAGTCGGCCCGGAGGGATAATTGAAGAACGATGACACTATCAATCTGCATTTTGGCTGTACCAAGGATAACAAATAATCGATCACTATTATATCGACGAGTGAAAAGTTTACATTATTTTTCAGTTTTCACAACGTTTTCTGTATACGAATACGCGTATTTTTTTATTTTCACAACGTTTGCGGTACGTATATACGTGTATATGTACAGCAAACGTTGCGAAAATTAAAAAATAAGTAAATTTTTCATTGTCGGTAATAAAAGTGATTTCAAATTTGGTCAGCTGAGCACGTAAAACGATTGTGGTCGTTATCTCTCGGTAGAGCCAAAAGTGGTTGGTAATGTCATCGTTCTTCAATCCACCAGCTGACATTCACGAAATTTTGCCATTGGCCAGCCGTTTTTTTAACAAAAATACTTCAGTGTCAATGTCATATTACTTCTAATAAATTTCGATAATTTTTCGAGGATGTCAAAAGATGAATATTTCAATTTTTCTTTTGAGCTCTCATCTATAATTAATTTATTCCGAAAGGGAAAGATATGAGTTTTCATAAGAATTAAAAAAACAATGTGAATGAATAATTACATTTCGAGATCGTGACTTACGATATATATGACTTACGTAAGTGAAACTCGTAACGTTACAAGGAAACGCTTGTCATTATAATACGTGAGCAAGGACATGAAAATGAGAGCATTTGCTAATAAATTGCCAGGAGTTAATACGATTAATAACATCTGCAGCTGCGTATACAGGGTGTTCCCGGATTAAAACGTCAAACTTAGAATATAAATTCAGGACCTGAAAACAAAAATTTTCCTCTGAACGTATGCTCGTTAACGTTTCTTTCAAGAGATATTTATATATACTTATGAAGTTACAGAACTGTATGAATAAATAATGTCGAAATAAGGTCAAAATATAAGGTTATATCCTCTTTATTGCTTTACAATAATCAAAATTAGTTATTACATTAAATGTTTTGTTCAAAATGATGGCCTAGTCTGGAGACAAACATTGCACCTATCAATGACAGAACGAGTGGCTGACTGACATTGTGCGTCCGTAATTTTTTCATACGCTTGCACCTTTGAGCTTTAAAACGAAAACAAAAGATATTTCAATTATTTTCATTCATACAGTTCTGTAACTTCATAAGTAAATATCTAAAGAAGCGTTAGCGAACAAAGGAAAATTTTTGTTTGTTTTCAGGTTCTGAATTTATATTTTAAGTTTGGCGATTTAACCCGGGAACATCCTGTATATATATGTATATATATATATACATATATCAGGATTGGATAACTTAATATATTTTTTAACTAAGTTAAGTTAAAGTTAACAGTCTAAAAATTTAACTTAGTTAAGATACAAGTTAGTCCACAATAAAATTAATTGAGTTAAAAGTTAAGTTAATAAAAAAAAGCAATTGAAAAGTTAAAATTAAATTTTTCATTTTATAATTTTAGGGTTTCTAAATAAAGTTTCTAAATAAAGTATATATTTGTTATACTTATTTCTGCCGAGAAATAAGTATAACAAAAAGCCTCGGAAAGAGGACCGATTTCGAAGGACTTCTTCCAACGTGATTTAATGCACAGAAGGTCCGCGAACAGTATGCAGATTCCTTCCCGCGATCAGACTGTATTTATTATATTATTACAATTGCCTTGATATGTGTTCTCAAATTTGAGTTTGAAGACACTAACTTAGATATGTATTTTTATTTTGGGTTTACAAGAAGCACTAAAAATGTAACTTCAAGAAAATTAGATCAAAAGTTAATAGTTACCGATAAAATGTAACTAAATTAAGTTAAAAGTTAAGAGCCTAAAATGTAACTAACAAGGGAACCGAAGTGTCAAATTCTGATTTGAATGAAACTTGGTACACTTTGAGGTCACATAAATAGATGAATTTAGAAATTATCAGTTGGTGCTAAAAAACGGTTTAAAGGGAATCTACCCCTTATATGTAAATCTATTCTTTTTTTCTTTCGTTATATCTCGAAAACTATTCAAGCTGTCTCTTATACACATCTCTGAGCGG